ATCCAAGTCACGCTGAATGGCAGCACAGCCTTCCGGTGTATCTACCACACCTCCCCGTTTGGTGTCATCAGCAAACTTGCTGAGGGTACATTCTAACTCTTCATCCATGTCGTTGATGAAGAAGTTAAACAAGACTGGGCCCAGTACTGACCCCTGGGGGACACCACGTTACCAGCCTCCAACTAGACTCAGCACCACTGATGACAACCCTCTGAGTTCTGACATTCAGCCAGTTCTCTATCCACTTCACCGACCACTCATCCAGCCCACACTTCTTGAGCTTCCCTCCGAGGATATCATGGGACTGTCGAAAGCCTTGCTGAAGTCAAAGTGGACAACATCCACGGCTCTCCCTTCGTCTACCCAGCCAGTCATGTCATCACAGAAAGCTATCAGATTGGTCAGGCATGATTTCCCCTTGGTGAATCCATGCCGACTACTCCTGATAACCTTCTTTTCTTCCACTTGCTTCATGATGGCCTCCAGGATAAGCTGCTCCATCCCCTTTCCCGGGATGGAGGTGAGGCTGACTGACCTGTGGTTCCCTGGGTCCTCCTTCTTGCCCTTTTTGAAGATTGGAGTGACATTGGCCTTTCTCCAGTCCTCGGGCACCTCTCCTGTCCTCCAGGACCTCTCAAAGATGATGGAGAGTGGCTCAGCAATGACATCCGCCAGCTTTAACTATCAAAACTAACTAACCAACTAACTTTTACTATCAAAACTAGAAAGTTATTTTACCCTAGTAACATGAGCAGCCACAACAAAAAGTTCTCTAAAAAGAACTTCACAAGTCTTGCTTCTAAGTGCTATGAAACTGAACAGGCCGAAACATAACTTCTTCTGTATTTGGCTAGCAACGCACATATTAGGGGCTACTCAAAGCTACACTCACAGTCTCTATACACATATACGCATAGAGATATATATAATCTGTTTTACATACGAGTTACATACCACTTACATAAATTTGCACATTCAGCCTTTGTTCTCTTTAGGTGGGCAAGCAATCTCAGTGGAAGAGTAATTTTTGCCAGCAAGACACCATGTCAGTGGGCAAAAAGCGTAAGAGATTGCAAAAACAATAATACTCTAAAACTGTTAAAAAGTTTTCAGTCTAACTATTTTCTGCCATTCTTCTACTATGTGCACTCTTCAAAGCAAGAAAAATTTGCCTTTACTGACCTGCTGCCCTGTTAGATCTCCTGTGCTTCTAACAGGATCCATGGAAAGAGAAGCAGCTGCTACAGGCACCTTCAGCTCAGCTTCACTTTTTTGATACTTTGGCAAATACCTTGTTCTTTCATTTCCTTTTGTAGACACTCCTGTAGATGAAAGACAAGAAGAACACACACTTTTATAAAGTCAAAAGGGACCCTTCTCTTGCTTCCTACAACAGGACTTGCACAACGGCATCCTTACCTTAGCAGCTCTTTTTGAAAAGAATGGCCATTTCAGGTACATGTTCGCAGTTCCCCCCCACCTCTCACTCCATACAAAATTTCACTAAGATGAACATATCAGCAGAAAAAGATGTGCTTGGTACTGAAGTGCACCCAGCCACAATAAAAACCAAAGTAAATTCTGAAACGCACATGTTGTCTTCTAACTAGTTCAATGCGAAAACCTGTGTTTGAGATTCAAAAGTATAAAATTTGGCT